CCATGCCTCAGCTCTCCCTCCCTGCCCCGCCTCCATGCTGATCTAGGGATTCGGAAAACTCACCCAGGGCTTCCATCAACTGTAGATGGATCTGGTAACAGGAAGAAGTTCCAAGAAAGACACCCCCCCCCACCACCTTCATTGTCCTATCTCATAGCTTGAGCACACCCCCTTCTCTGACTACCCTCACCTCCCACCCCCCAGACAACCTGAGCACTGCCGTGATGTGGGACAGTGACCTCATCCACCGCCCAGGAGTTCCTGATAGCCCTTCAGCAGCGGGCAGCTCTTGAATGCCATCTCCACCCGTGAGCTCCCTATTCGACCACTTAATGTCCCACAGATCCCAAGGCCTGCCGTTGCCACCTGACCTCTCTCCCTGTCCAGCCTATGGGAGGGGCCTTTGAATCACCAAGGAGTCAGTTCCTGAGAGGGTCCCAAGGGGCCATGTCACTCCTAAGCCATTGAGATTGGAGGCGGGGTGCTGGAGAGAGAGCTGGTGGGGAAAGCTGGGGGCGTGGGAGGCTGGAGGAAGGCTGCCTTCCCTGGGGGCACACAGCCTGAAAGAGTTCAAGGAAGAAGTCGCAAAAGGGTGCCCCCTGACCCCCATCTCTGCTACCCAATTTGGCTTTCCACCAGACTTCCAAGGAGCACATTCCCATTCTCCTTGTCTACGTCTACCTGCCAATTTGCTCATCCCAAGCTGCCCTTGGAGTGCAGACGTGGGAGGGCTGTTCCAGACAAACTTCTTTTAAGAGGAGGGTGAGGCCAACTCCACCCAGCCTCACTGCTTTCCCATCCCGAGGCGACCTTTCATCCTGCATCTGGGACTAGCCCTGCCTGACTTGACTCATCAGCCAGCTCCTCACAGGCCAACCCTCCACCCTTCCCATTGTCTCTCGGCTCCCTACCCAAGCCTCTGGCACTCGGCATCGCCAGTGGACAGACTGGTGGACTGGGCCCACTCTCCAGCTGCCTATCCTCTGCCATTCCTGGGGTGGGGCCCATGTGGCCTTGGTGAGAGAAACCCAGGTTTAGGGAGAGCCCAGCACGTGTGTTGGTTCGAGTGAGCGTGCGTGTATTTTGGTGGGAGGGACCCGAGCAAGTGCGAGCCTGGCTGGGACAAGTGTGGGATCCCAGGTGAGGGCAAGGTGCAGGCTTCCAGGAAGAGCAGCTGCAGAG